ACATACCGAATGTGTCTCGTCGTGTGCCATCACTATAAAGGATTAGAGTATACTAAACGTTACACATTATATAGGCTACAATAACTTGACGTTTAGTAGGCGGTTCGTTTAACTATTATATGTGATGTTACGGTTTTTTTTGGGGGGGGGGGGTAATGAAAGTATTCCAAAACGCGACATTCAATTCTTGACGACCTAATACATTTAATTTGTTGCTTGCTGCTCATGAGGCTTTTTCCTGTCCCTCAAATATTATCATGATTAGTATTGGGCTATTTATGACAGGTACATTTCACGCTGAAAATGAAAGCTTCGCACAATTAAAGAATACTGTTCTCTATATGTCCGAATTAGACCTGAAAACCTTAATATAGATAAATAATGTATAGTCGTTCAAAATTCACAGAAGACATAATAAAACATATAGAACAAATGTTTTTGTTTTTCATAAAAACAACAGACGTTGTAGTTTTCGTGTTTCGAACGTGGAGTCTCTCGGCGTTTTTAAAACGCGGACATTTCTAGGTCATTACAAATTTCATCAGATTATTACGAGTGGAAAATATCAGATGACGGGTAAAAAAAACTTACTGCCTCCATGTGGCGCGGACATTTTTGAAAAAGTATTCCAAACGTGTTGATTGCCGCCCGGGAAACACTGGACCGGAGATTTCGAATTTCCGATAGCAGAACCAACACAACAGAATGTAATTCTGCTTGCAAGAGTTGGGGCTGATAAGCAGCTAATCTGTTGAATTCATTCATAGCATTCACCTTTTGTAACCTGTTAATAAAAGTAATACAAGATCATTAGCAACATCCACCTTTTAGAACCTGTTAATAAAATAGTAGTAGTAGTAGTACTAGAAAACCATTAAGAACTTCTGTCTCTTGTGTAGTACGAAGTTATTAGTAACTTGAAACTTTTGTAACCTGTTAATAGAATAGTAGTACAAGCTCAATAATATTTACCTCTTATTAATAAACTCCATCTTTTGTAACCTGTTAATAAAATTGTAACTTGTTAATAGACTAGTAGTACAGTCATTAATGACTTCCTTCTGTTATATTTGTTAATAAATTAGTAGTACAAAGTCATTAATGACCTCCATTTGTTCTTGTTATTAAAGTAGTTGTGGTACAAAGTCATTAATATCCCATTTCTGTTATATTTGTTAATAGAGTAGTAGTACAAAGTCATTAATAACTTCCTTGTGTTATATCTGTTAATAGAGTAGTAGTACAAAGCCATTAATAACTTCCTTGTGTTATATTTGTTAATAGAGTAATAAATTATTATTAGCGACCATCTTCCGAAATTCATAAGCGATTTAGCAAAATGTCATTAATAACATACTAGCAGATGCCCGTTGAAACAATTCAATGTTAATTTCCCTAAAAATTGTGGTGAATAAATATAAAATTTGCAGTCAACATCATTCCATGAATCATAGCGTACATACAACATGATTATCTAGTGAGCCGTTTACAACCGTCATTCCACGTGTTATTTCAGTTACGAAAGCTGCATTGCGTTTGTTTTTAAGCAAAGGATACTATCCGCAATGCATTGTTGGCAAAAAATGTTTCGGTTTCGATGCAATAGGTGGATTGGATTCAGCACAATAGAGCGCTAAGGTTCGCTATGTAGGCGAGATGATTTTTATCCTCTGGATGCCACCGTTGCTTGTCGTTTTACTGAACGCAAGGAAAGACCGCTAAGGAAGTGAGCGCTTTTTTTTTAACAGTTGTTAAATCAGTTTATTCCACGTGGTACAATAAAATCATGCATGTACAAAATTAATACCGATACGAAAAAAATATAAGTCCAACAACAAATATATACTCAAACACTTTATACGTTTTTTTCTGTTCATGTTCCTATCGTTGAAACATTTTTTTTCAATGAGCTGACGGAAGAAGTTCCCCCTTTTTTTTCGTGAAATTCCCTCACAAAAAAGAAACATGTCCTTAATATGTTTTTTCTCAGATTGACCGTTCAGCATATACGAAGACTGACAGAATGATGTTGATATCAATATGGAATTTTAGGAATTGAAAGAGGTGACTAATTTTCCTGTAATGTATCCTTGAAAATAAGCATTTTGATATATATATATATATGTATATATTCTACGATTAACCGTTCAGGAGATACAGAGTGTGACAGACAGACATTTGCCTATTATATATATATATATACAGATACCTCTTATGATGTGTCAGTTAAATAGGGCCCATGAGTGACCTATTGGTTAGCATGTCGGGCTGTGGATTCTACACCACCTCTCACTTGCACTTGTGACTTCCTTATAAGAGTTACAGGTAATGCGGTATTCGGTTATGATTATCTGTTTGGTCCACAGCTCAAAATTAGTGTCGCTATACCTAAGTAATAGAATATCTTAGCTTGTCGTTTAGCCCATTGTGTGTGTAGGGTGTCGTTCAGTTAAGTAGTGTAGACAGCAACGTATATACGCCATCTTTTCTTACTTACGAAGTATAATTATGAAATGGATTAAATATGGAAAACTCTAGATTGTACCAGATGTACTTGTTGTTTTAACAAATGTGCCATTTAACGCATTTCGAGTGAAATTGTGTTTATTGCATGTAATAATATCTGGAAAAGATAGAATTAAAAACTCAGTTAAGTAAATATAAAACTTATTTCGTCCCGTAGTGGACATTTTTTTGTGTAATGTTATAATTAAGCGTTATACGATCAGTTGTACCCCCCCCCCCCCAATGGATCAGCGATAAGTGAGCAGGCTTACAACGCTAAAAGTCGGGATTTGATACCCGTAGTGGGTAATGCACAGACAGCCCCTTGTGTAGCTTTGTGCTTAACAACAACAATGATCAATTGCAACTGCATGATCATGCTGTGGATGTGAGGACTAGATGTATGGATTATAATAATAGGTTCTTACGGATGTTATGATTTGTTCCTTAATTTGATGTACAAGCTTAACAACAACAATGATCAGTTGCAACTGAATGATCATGCTGTGGATGTGAGGACTAGATGTATGGATTATAATAATAGGTTCTTACGGATGTTATGATTTGTTCCTTAATTTGATGTACAAGCTAGAACATACAGTCAGAAAAATCCGTAGTAAATTACTTAACATAAGCTATACGAGTTATTCATATCTGTTACAAAAGTAAATCATTTAACAAATCAAATTTTAGCTACAAACATTTTTCTGTTATTATTATTATTATTATATATCATAGTTTAGATGGACAAGAAATTATCCCGGCCTCCATCTTGTTGGTATGTGGCTAATTTATATTGTATGATTAATCTAGCCTAACATCTTATATTCATTCGCCTTACCAGTCCTCGCTGGTAATCGTCTTCAATGCATTCGTAAGGGAATCACATGGATTGGAAAAAGAACCAGAATTTTCAATACTTCCTCTCTCACTAATGGTGGCAGAAGTAACAGGACTATTTTTCTTTGTCTTGCCTGGCAAGCTCTGAGAAGATGACACTCTTTCTGGACTGTCATGGGTAAAGAGAGGAATTTAAGATCCCCATATCTGTTGTTCCAATTATACTACAGTGCTCAGATATTCGTAAATTATTATTTTATTTTCCCAAAGCCTATAATGAAGTTCAGTGTTGCATCCACTTTCTTACTTTTTATTCTGGAACAAGTGACAAACGAAAATTGTTTTATACGGTCATTAAAAACGATGTAGTATCTACAGTAAGTTACAAAGTAACATAACATACGAACAACGAGTTCATCTAGTTCTTCAAGGCTGTCTTTACACACCCACCCTCTGTAAGATTAAAAATTTATACCCACTCATTATTTCTTATAAAATTATTGATTATTCTCTTAAACGCCTCCACCACCAATAATGGCAACTCATTCTAGAAGTTAATCAAACTGTACAAAAATTGTATTGTCTTAACTGAAACCTAGCCTGTCTTTTTCAAATTGTGTCCTGTCGTCCAATTATCCTTAGGATATAGAACAAAGAAATCACATGCCTTCATCCTATCAATCTAGTAAATTTCAATAAGATCACTTCTTAAGTTAATTTCCCAATCAAAAAAAAAAAAAGGTCCTTAACCTGTCCTTGTAAGATGATTCTTCCATTCCTGGAATAGTCCTTGATAACCCTATCCGAAAATCCTTTCCAATAATTTTTAGATAAGGAGACATAACTTTAAAATTCGTTATTAATTTTTCATTCACTTGTTTCAACCAGGAATGATTTTGCATATTTGGTAACTATTTTACACACTCCAATAATACATTCCAATATATATTTTAACATTCATTAATCATGACTTGATTAATACAATTAAATGAATCTTTATATCTTTTATAAAATAAAAATTTAAACCCACTCATTAGTTTTTGACTTATAATTTACAGATATTTGTTTAATCTGTCGAGTGAGTTATTAATGTAAAAGACAATACGATCTAGAAAAGTATTACTTATATTTTGAATACACTTACGAAATTTTCTTTCGTAATCGAGATGTCGACTTTGAACTCGGTGACAAGGCAATGGCAGAAGTGGCTGAAAATATTTAGGTTTAAACTGAAACAAAAGTGTTGAAAATTTCAGTTTATTCAGTTTATTTTAATGTAGATTTTATTTTATGTAGAGATAATACTCACTGTAATAATCAAACCCTATTTTCAGAGTTTTGATTAGAAAGAAAAAAGAAATTAATCGAAATACAGTACGAATGAAAACTGAATAGCAACAACATGGTGAAACCTAATTAAAATGGAAAACACATTACATCATGTCATTTTGACAGATGAATGTGTGTGTTACGAATTAAAAAGTAGTACCCTTGTATTCTTTATACTGTTTGTTTGTTTGTTTGAAATTAAGCACAAAGCTAAATGGGCTATCTGTGCTCTGGCCACCACTGGTATCGAAACCAGGTTTCTAGCGTTGTAAGTCCGCAGATATTCCGCTGTGCCACTGGGGGGGGGGGGTTCGTACTGATTGTACCACTTTGTAGCCTATAAATAAACCAAGTTATTTTGTTCACAAACAAAATCCAGTCCTAATTTATTTATCTTGCATATTGCAAGTGTTTTTACTGCAACTTCAATGAAGACAGTTACCAAACTCCAAAAATGAAGCAAAGCGTAAAAGTACGTGCTGGTAAGGTTTTTTTTCGTTAAAGTGAGTCCTCTAATATGACTTGTTCAAGATTTTGACGGTTTTGCAGTTGGCATGGAAGAGCATTTTTTTTTACACTAAATAAATCTTTTAAACTAGAGATGTAAAACAAAATTGAAGTTTTCCTCTGAAAAACTAAGCATGTTTGGTTCATTGAGGTGTCTAAAACTAATCACAAAGTTTAGGAGTTAGAGCAATCCGAGTGGACAGTATTATAAGGCTGGTTACTGTAGCGTCTGATGTATCAGTCTTAATACGGAACTTAATTACTGTATGCCGAATATTTATTAATGTCTTTTTGTTTCTGGAAAAGATTGTTTGTTATGAATTTCGCGCAAAGCTACACGAGGGCTATCTGCGCTAGCTGTCCCTAATAGAGGGAAGGCAGCTAGTCACCACCAT